CATCTACACGGACGCTAGTGGCGAAGGAGTAGGAGCAATCTTGAAACAACCACAGGAAAATAATGTCCTACATCCAGTCGCTTACTTCTCGAAGCGTCTCAGCCCAGCCGAGCGAAAGAAAAAAGCGATTCATCTAGAGTGTTTGGCAATCAAACAAGCGATTATCTTCTGGCAATATTGGTTGATCGGCAGAAACTTCACAATAATAACGGACCACAAACCGCTGGAGACTCTGAGAGTTAAAGCGCGAACCGACGAATTCCTGGGTGATCTCGTATACTATCTCTCTCAGTATAATTTCACGATCAAATACGCAAGCGGCAAAGACAATGTGGAAGCGGACTCACTCTCCAGGAATCCGGTCCTGGAAAGTTTCGAGAACGAAGACGATGTTCTTAAGGTCGTCAATTTGATAAACTTGGAAGAAATCATTCACGATCAGAAAGCAAACTATCCAAATATCGAAAGAATGAAAAACGTCATATGGAGGGATGGTTTGAGTTTCAAGAAAATTCGGGAGAGGCAGCGATTGATCGTTTCTCAAAAATTCGGACTCTGGTTGATCCAAAAAGTTCATGACTTCTACGGTCACATCGGAAAACATCACCTAGCGGCCAGGATACGACCATTCTATTATTTCAAGTACATGGATTCTCTCTTAGAACGCTTTTGTAGAAATTGTGATGTGTGCATCAAGAACAAGACTCGGAACAGTAGACCTATGGGGAAACTATCCCAGTTAGGCCCAGCATCGAGACCCTTCCAAATAATGTCCATCGATACGGTCGGTGGATTCGCCGGAAACAGATCCCCGAAAAAGTACATGCACATACTAGTGGATCATTTCTCTCGTAAAGCCTTCGTCGCCACGACAAGTAATCAGACGACCAAACAATTCATCGATCTCATCGACAAAACTACACGCGATAAGAAAGTTTGCACAATTTTGATGGACCAGTACTCAGCCCTGAACTCTAAGGACCTAAAACAATATCTGAAGAAGCGAAATATTCAGCTCGTTTTCACCTCAGTGAATAATCCATCATCGAACGGTTTAAACGAAGGTTGAATCAAACCTTGGTCAATAGAATAAGATGTAAAATCAACGAAAGTACGAATAGGCCTTGGTCACGAATAGCTGAAGAATGTGTTAAGGAATATAACTCGACCATTCATAGTGTCACGAGATTCGAACCAAATTATCTAATAGACGGGACAAGATCTAGCATCGTTCCAACAAATCTAGTGGAGGAAAGCAACTTAGAGAAGGATCGAGCAGAAGCTCTCCTCAACACTATGAGAAATTTCGAGAGAAACAAAGCCTATTTCGATAGAAACCGAGTGAATTGCCGCATAAAAGTTGGAGATTTCGTCTTCGTTGAGAATGGTAACAAACTCAATCGAAACAAACTAGATAATGTGAGAATAGGACCGTTCCGTGTGCTGAAACAAGTCTCCAACTCCATGTTTGAGATCGATTGTGGGAAGCGAAAAAAAGAAGCCAACATTTTCCACGCAAGCAAACTCATCCTGAAGGAGAACAAATGTGGATGATCCTATTCACTTCCTGGTTTAGATATCTCAGGAAGACGAGGGGGGGGGGAGATGTAATATCGTCCCTGCTCCCTGCCGATATTGAGAGAGGGCGCCTTTCGAAAACTGCCGCCACGTTTCTCTCCAGAGATAGGAGAATCTGGCTCTAGCCATTCTGCGTTCTCCAAGAGCGGGATTCACCACGTGAAAATCGATTCTCTGATTTAAGGTAAATGCTCTCATGCTTACGTATCATACCACCGATACTATCGTTGTTAAATCGTTTCAATCGACCCATTAAAATAAATCTCTGATTTAAGTGAGAATCGATCGTGTGATCCTTGAAAGAAGAAAAATATACAGTGCAGAGCATAAAACACGCAATCGAACGGTCTGTTTCTCGTTTCTTCGGGCAAGAAATTGCGCCATCCAGGTATTCGTTCCAGTCACCCAGAGTCTTCGGCACTGACGATAACTGTCATCACAGTCGCACGTGTTGTTGCTTATGAGGCCGCCGCGGCGAGTCAAAGATTGCCTCGCTGGCGGCAAATTCAAATCGCCGAGTTGTTTTCCGAGGTTCTCTCCAAGAATAAAACCAATCTAGGGGATAAATGCTGTAGAACTAATTTTTATAAGGTGAAACCCATGAAAATACGCCATTTTGAGGTGTTTTCATGAGTTTAAAGGTAGATAATCGCGGAAGGGGTGCCCAATATGAGGTTCAGGGAATGCGGGGGGACGCGGGGCATTAGAGAAAAATGTTGGTTGCCCTGGGAGCTTTAGAGGGTAGGGCACTTTTGCGAAAAAACTGAAAAAAACGTTATTTTTGACTTGAAAAAAAATATAATATAATTTTTTCCGTCTTTACTAAATGATTGTATCATTGTCAGAAACGGTCAGATCATCCAATTCCACACCGAATCGCCTTTTGCGAGAAGAAAACGAAGCATTTTTCGAGGAGATATCGGCGCTTCTTTGAATCGGCCGCCAGCTCGCTTAGGAAAGGTCATAGGTCAAACTCGCGAGAGACAAAAAGATGCGAAATTCACTCAGCTTTCCAACGCCACCAAGAAATCCGAAATCGGTTCAGCCGTTTGGCCGCAATCGCCGATTTAGTGAAAAAAAACCATTTTCGGGGTCTCGGGGTTCGAACCCGGACCCGAAAATTATCTCAAAAGTTGCGCCCTAGGCCAAATACCCCCTCATAGAATTTTCAAGGAAATCGGTGCAGTCCTTCAGAAGTTATGATTTTCCGTGGTTTCCGACCACTGTGCGGCGCTTCTTGTGTTTGTTGTGCCTAGAGAGGAGCCCGTGTAGAAAACCGTTGAAAAAATTTCTTCCGTCATTCTTCTCGAGAGCGTAAGGAGATGCCACGGCGCCGACGGTGGATGTTGCCGCTTGAATGTTGCTGCCTCCAGTGGTGCAGTCACTGGTTGCTGTGGCGGCGGCGAAAGTGCCGCCGCGCGCCGTCAGCGATTCAGAGCGCTCCTGGTTTAGACTCTCCGTTCGCCAATCATCTGTGATAACTACTCCTACTATGGGGAATGGCTTGAAGGGAGGAATGTTCGACTTATTTCACCTCACTGATTTATTGGCGAATACTCGGTTGGACTGAGCGTCGCGCGTGCCGTCGGCTACGACACCCAACTCTCGACTGACGTCATAGGCCCCGCGGTGACGATCATGCAACGTGCACCTGACCACCGACGTCCCTGATACATTTCGCCTATGACATTCGACCACAGCTACCATTTTTGATCTCCCGATCAACCTGGATTGCCTAATCCTAACTCTGATGAATAGCCTAATCGAATGCCTAATTCCTATGGAAACGCCTGTTATTACGTACCTAGTTGAGGACACTATCTAACCGGGTGCGACACATATCCGTTTTATTTAGCTATCCACGTCGGACAAAAATCATTAATATAAATATATATATATTTTTTTTTCTCTCACGAATGTACGTTAGTACAATCGTCTCCTCTCATCTCTGGTCACGTAGAGGGCTCTAGGTCTCGGCGGCAGGTCCTCGCCCTCGTCGTCCTCGTCGGTCTCGGTACCAAAGACCGGTATCGATCTCTCGAGTCGGATCTCCGACCGGCAAACAGGGCAGCATTCCCCCGCCGTTCCCTCGGCGACCCATCGACACAGGCACGCCCAACACAATAAGTGACCACACGTGGTCACGACGGCGTTTCGGGCCTCGTCCATGCATATTGGGCATCGCCACCTTGTGGACTCCGGCTGTACCCTGGCTGGTTCCTCTCCGCCGATCTCATTCACCTGCGGCTCGATTTCCGCCTGAAGTTCTTGTCCCTGGGCGACCACCTCCTCCTGTTCCTCGCCGGCCTGCTCCTCCTGCTCCTCCTGCTCTTCCGGGACTGCCTGATACGGTACCTCACGAATTGGCTGAACCTGGACCTGGATTGACACACTGGCTCTCCCTGAGATCATGATGGCCTGTAGCAACTCGATTGCTTCCTGCGACCTGTCGATCGGAGCTGGAGCTCTTGCCTGCCTGGGCCCTCGGTACAGGGCGCACATCCGGACGTAGTGGCCGATCTGATGACAGGCGGTGCACTCCGCGTCACGCGCCCTACAACGTACCGAACCTGACGTGTGCCTGTTGTCCCCGCAGTTTGTACAACCTTCGTTCTGCATCCTGATCTTCACTGAATCGAGACGTTCGTTGAAGCTTTAATGATTGGTCTTGACCGGTTGAGTCCACACCGTCGAATGATCCAACTGTCTCTCACACCCCACCAGTCGGCTGTCTCTCTTGAATCTTATTGGTTAAATTCCGTCGATGCCAGCGCCGATTCCAATTAAAATATGTATCCAACATTTCTTCCGATCGATCTTCTATCCGTCGTGCACATTCCGTACATCTCTGTTCCGTTCCCGAAACGTGCCTGCCACTTTTTCACCATACATTTGACCCAATTCGCTCGGTCTCGCTACCTAAATGTTGTCCTCAACATTACTTAGAATATTTTCCCTGAAAGCGTTTCCTTCTAACTGGCTGTTGCCTAGCCTGATCTAAGTGATCTTCTTCTCTACCTGGAGATTCCATGATTGCCGTGTTCAAA